AAATAAGCTGCAGACAGTAAAACACATGGGGCGGGGCTGGAAGCGATGATCTGAGGAGCAGCCCACGCTCTTTGGGAGCTGTGCAGACCCGTGCGTCATGGCAGATTGCAGCTCGGGAGCCACGACCTGTTTTCAGAGCACTTGAGTGGAGCCTTTCTCTGTACCTGTGTGAGATTTGTGCCCCAGGACCAGGATCAAAGGGATGCCTCCAGTTCCTGACCTCCCTCCCAGCGTCCCCTGCCAAAGGGCAAAAAGCATTGAATCACGGTGTACTATTTTGTATCCTGCTTTTCTCTCCTGTCACTCTTGTCTGTCTCTATCTCTGTCTCTCTCTCTTTAGCATTTTATCATTTAAAATATTTCTTTAAAATGCAGTGTTTGGGGGATATGGCTCAGTGGCATAAGCACCTGCCTGGCAAGTGCAAGGTCCTGAGTTCAATCCCTGGTACCACCAAAAAAATAAAATAAAATACAGTGTTTAGTGACTCTAGAACCATTACAACTGTGCAGAAAAATCTTGTCAATAGACTATCAAGGAAAAGATCCTGGGGGCCGGGGAGATGGCTCAGTAGAATAAGCGCTTCCCGGGCAAGCTCAAGGGCCTGAGTTCAATCCCCGGTTCTGCCAAAAAAAAAAAAAAAAGATAGAAAGAAAGAAAAAGAAAAGATCCTGAGCACAAAAGAAAAAAATGATATGGGGCCAGTGAGATAGCTTAGTGGCCTGATGTGCCAGCTTAGGCAAGCACAGGGACTGCAGTTCGATCCCTGGCACCACATGCTATGCCAGCCCCACCCGCAGGGGGGCTGACCCCGCCACAAAAATAAATAAATAAATGATTTGAAAAAATGCTATGTGACCTATACTTCTCTGGAAGTATATTTCTACTGACCTCTTTGAGACACCCCTTTCTTACCTGGATGTTGTGTTAACTGAGAATGAAGTGTCATGCTCTGTCAGCCCTTGTGGCACAGGACACTGCTGGGGACAGTATTCCAACATGGCATGTGTTCTTCACAGCTCCAACATGGCCGTCCTCTCAAAGGAGTATGGATTCGTGCTTCTCACGGGTGCCGCCAGCTTTGTCATGGTGCTCCATCTCGCCATCAATGTTAACAAGGCCCGCAAGAAGTACAAGGTGGAGGTGAGTCAGGACAGGAGCCTGTGCTGTGGAGGCTGATCCAAGAACTTGTTTTCAGGCTTTGAGGGGAGAGGGGAGCTGTGGCTGTGGTGGCTGGCTGCGCCTGTTAGAAGTTCAGCTCCTCTGTGGCCCTGAGGGGAGCTGGGAAGCACAGCGACCTGCTAAGCAGTAGTTTCCATCTTACTTCACTTTGACTTTTCGGGGAGCTGGGATTAGAACAGTATGCTTTGGGCTAGAGCGGTTCACTGGAAAGAGCTCTTTTCTAAAGAGGATTAGGGGCAACTTTGTTTCCTGGTGTGCCACTTTAAAGATGGTGTCTTCAGTTTATTTTTCCTGTCTCCCAAGTGGAAAAGAGATGTTAAGCTCAGCCAGGGCTTAGATAGGAGAACAGGAGGGAGGGCTATTCAATACTTCCGTTGGTTCTAGCTGATCGAGCGGGGACAATTTCTGGAGTTCTCCCTGGTGAGCAATTAAATGTCTATTTCTGCTTAGCAACTTGTAATGAGACTCTCTCACTGGAGCCTCTTAAAGTCTTCTTGTCTAATTTTGTCTCTTTTTCTCCTAATGGAGGCTGCCACTAAAATTCAAACACACTCAATGGTCTCTGCCCCTACAGAGGGGGATCTTAAAAGGGTGTGGCCTTTGGTGACTCTTAGAAAGGCGCTAAGGGGCTCGGTGTCTGTCACGCCTCTGAACTCCTCTGCTGTGATACATAACATCAATGAACAGCCCGCCTTGTCTGGCCACAGCACAGACATTCTGATTTCTAGGTATGTAAGGGAAACATCAACCTTGCTTCTGCAAATTGAGACCTTTGAGATTGAACAGTTAAGCAGAATCAAATGACATTTGCCAAGGGTACAGTAGAAGATGGCTAGGAGTATATTATTTTCAAGGTTAATCTGAACCCTTAACACTGACTGCTACTCTTATGGGTTTCATTGAAACAGTATCCTGTCATGTACAGCACAGATCCTGAGAATGGGCACCTCTTCAACTGCATTCAGCGAGCCCACCAGAACACGTGAGTGTGAGCCCTGCAGGTACCAGCGGCATCTGCAGGGCACATGTTTCCTGTCCTACACCTGAGCCCTGGGTGCTCTGCATTGGCTGAATGATAGCAATGACAATTACGGAATTACGGGCACTGCATGAGACCCGTCATGAAGGCCAGGGGCGATGGTGCATACCTGCGACTCCAGCACTCAGGACGCTGAGGCAGGAGGCCCACACCAAGTCAGGGTCGCCGTGCACTGCATAGTGAGTTAGAGACTGGCCTGAGCAATATCGCAAGACTATCTCCAAAGGGGAAAATTATTTGTGAACGGAATGAATATGAAGCAAGTTATGGAGCTTTTAAGAAGTGAGATTTCTGGATAATCTTTTCGGAAATGTCACTCAAGTTTCATTAAAGCCTTTGCACCAGATCTCACTTAAACTGACGGTGAACCTCGATGCCCTAGAGAGAAAGCAGCTTCTGTGTGGAAGCCCACTGTGGCCACCATGCTTTCCCGTAGGATCCTCAGGCATGAGGCCCCTCCCTGTGCACGTTGAGTCCACTGCTGTTCTCAGGCAGAGCACAGGCACCTGCGGATCAGCAGCCGCAGCTTCTCCCGCTGGGCAGCATCCCTTTTACTCCTAGGTTCCGACCCTGCATCATTAACAGGGGGGCACCTTTTAAAAAGTTCCTCTCGGTCTGTTCCAGGTTGGAAGTGTACCCTCCCTTCCTGTTTTTCCTAGCTGCTGGAGGAGTGTACCACCCGGTAAGTTCTCCAAGGGCTCTTCCTCTGTGTGGGCAGAGTTTGATGAGCTATACTGTCAGGGAAGGGAAAAGAAAGGAACACTGCATAGGTATTTTCAGGGCAAAGGCACTGGGTATTTATTTAAAGGATTTTGTTTAGTTATTTCTTACAAAGTCCATTCAAGGTAGGTGACATTTCACCCATTTTTTACAGATCAGGGAAAGCCTCTTGGATACTATTTAACTTTCTGAAGCCAAACAGGACTAGAAGAGTCAGACTTTGAACCCTGGTCTAGTTGATTCTAAAAAAATTCCAAGGCTATGAGCATTTTCATTCATTCAAGCAACAAACATTTACAGTGAGGGAAACAGGCCGAGGAGATGCTGGCTTCACGGAGATGTCCTTTCTTTCGTTGGGGCCACAGACAGACAGCAGCATAAGTGAATGCTGTGTCCAGTGAGACTCTGGCTGGGGTCCAGAAGCAGACAGGGTACAGACGGAGGTAGAAGGGAGAGTGTGTTCAGCGCTTTGACTACTGTGCTTAAGAGAAGGGCCTGCCAGGAAGGTTATGGGTGAACAACCTCAGGAGGTGAGGGAACCGCAGCCTGTGGCATCCTGGAAGGAAAGCCTGGCTGAGGGCAAGGCTACAGCAGGAGCCTGCTCATTGGTGCTGAGCAGCGGGAGGGCCCAGGGAACACACAGAGGGCAGAAAGCAGTAGGGCAGTGCAGGGCTCAGCCTTCCGGGGACAGCCCTTGCAGGCTGCAGACTGGGTCTGTACTTCAGCTGATCGGAACCTGATCAGTTGTCATTCAGGGTTTGTCTTGGACAGAAAGTGGTGTCCTTTCCCTAGGCCTGACTGTCCCCTGAGCTGAATTATATCCAGAGCTCTCCCTACACACTCCTGGTTTCAAGACTGGCGCAGTGTCTCAGGGCTGCACCTGAACAGCAGTGTGCTTCCCGTTGGGTGCTGGAATGGCACATCTAGTTCTTGACCTTGAAGAACTATTTTTTTCTTTTCTTTTTCTTTTTTTAAACACAAGTGTCAACTACTCTTGTATCTGTTGGGGCTGGTATTTCTTTCTGGGCCCTCTGTCTGGCCCCACTCCCAGGAGTGACCTGACTGCCTGGTCTGACTTGCCCTGTGTCTCTGCACGGACATCACCTGAGCAGCCCCTCCCCTTTCATTCCTGTCCCACTTCCCCAGATCCCATTCCTTCTGCTTAGCTCTTACACATACAGCTAAGAACTGCCCCAAAGGGTTTAGACTGATAGTGATTACACAGCATTTGGCACAGTGGCTCCCACCTGTAATCCCAGCACTGCAGGAGGCTGAGCAGGAAGATTGTAACTTTAAGGTAAGCCTGGGCAGGTTAGCAACTTAGCAAGACCTTGTCTCTAATTTTTTTTTTTTTTTTTTCGGAACCGGGGATTGAACTCAGACCCTTGCGCTTGCCAGGGAAGCACTTATTCCACTGAGCCATCTCCCCAGGCCCTGAATTTTAAGAAAATAAATATAAATAAGGGACAAGGGATGCAGATCAGTGCAGAGGCCTTGAATTCAGGTAAACACACACACACACACACACACACACGCACACACACGGCAGAGAATACAAGCTTATAAAGAGCGACTTGGGAGACAGTGGTGTTCATTTTCAGTTCATCTTCCTCTTGATACTTAGCTTTCTCTAGAATCAATCCCGACAGACAAGCCCCTGCCATAGTCATCCCCCCCACTCCCCCACCCCACGTCCATACATCTCTCTGTTGTTTTCTTCTCACTCCTGGCTGAATGGAGGCCCCCCCACCTCCCCCTGTGCATGGCACCCAATGGAAGGATTTTTCCTCTCAGTTTTTTACTCTTTTCTCAAGGGTATGGGAAATGGGAGGGGACACCCCACCACCACCACATGTTCAGGCATTCACAGCCCAATACACTCTCCCCACCTTTCCTAGTGGAGGTGTGGGCAGGGGCAGCACCTGCTTCCAGCCTCTCCCTGTGGGCAACTTCCCTAGACAGCAGGCAGCTCCCACCAGCTGGAGTTTGGGGTCAGCTTTGTTCTGTAGCTTTGCCTCTAGTCCTGATGTTTGGTCAGGGACCTCTTCTCACTCACACTGAGCCCCCAGGCCTGCCTGTCCCCCTTCTAATCACTAGGAGTTTCCCCAAGTTTCTTGAACAAGATGGGAGAATCCTTCCAGCCATCCTGCCTAGGCCAGTGTTGAGCTCTTCTGAGACAAAATACCCAATATCCAAAGTTAAAGGAAGAAAGGTTTATTTAGCTCACAGTTTATAGAAGTTTCAGTCCGTAGTCAGCTGGCTCCAAGGCAGGGTAGCATGGAATGAGGCATTGTGGAGGAGAAACAGGTTATGATAGGCAGAAGACAGCAAAAGCAAGTGACTGCACCAGCCCTCCTTCTGTCCCTTCTCTTTATCCAGCCAGGGTGGGCACCCTTCATCCTACCCAGAACTATCCAGGCCTGTCATGACAGATGTAGTAATCACACCCATAAGCCTGGCATCACACAATCTAGACCCAATCACCTATGACCACATGAGGCTTTGGGGGCCATCTAGACACAGGCCACAACAAGTCACAGAAGAGTCAGAGGTGCTGATTTTATTGACTGAAACTACTCAGGTCTCCCTAATTTTGGTGGAAAGTGATTTGGAAAATCCATGAAATTAACTTTTTTAGTAACATGTTGCATTAACCCTAGATGTTAACAAAAATTGCATTTCTTTCCTTTTTTTTTTTTTTTTTTTTTTGCGGAACCGGGGATTGAACTCAGATCCTTGCTTTTGCCAGTCAAGCGCTTATCCTACTGAGCCATCTCCCCGGCCCTGCATTTCTTTAATGTAGACACTAACGTATCCTTTTGATCTTAGCGTATAGCTTCTGGCTTAGGCCTGGCCTGGATTGTTGGACGAGTTCTCTACGCGTATGGCTACTACACAGGCGGTAAGCACACGTTGACATCTAGTTGGGAAATAAATTTCAAACTGTGCCGGTATAGTTTTCTTCTTAGCATAGCTTAAGCAAAGGGAAACAGCCAGGTGAGGTGGCACATGCCTATAATCACAGTGCTTGAGAAGCTAAGGCAGGAGGATCGCCTTGAGTTCATGACCAGCCTGCACTACGTAGCAAGACCTTGTCTCAAAAAAAAGAAAAGGGGGGGGAGCGTAGGCACAGCTAAGTGTGGTGGCTCATACCACCAAATCTAAGCACTTGAGAGGCTGAGGCAGAAGCATCTTGAGTTTGAGCCCAGTCTGGAGTTCATAGTGAGTTCTGTGCCTGCCTGGATACATAGCAAGACCCTGTCAAAAAACCAAAGAAGAAGGGAAGCAGAGGGAAGGAGGGAGAAGGGAGCAGGAAAAGTAGGGAAGGAGAAATAGCTTGATAATTAAGGTAAAGGCTCACTGTCGTTACTCTTTTTACCAACTTTTGAATTATAACCAAATGTTTTGTATGTGGGATGTGGTGGCACACACCTGTAATCCCAGCACTCGGGAGATTGAGGCAGAAGGATCGCCCTGAGTTCAATATCAGCCTAAACTACATAGCAAGACCCTGTCACAAGAAACTAAAAAAAACCTTATTTTTAAGTGAGCGTTTTCCTTCTGCCAATCGCTGTTATGACCTCTGCACATGCTGTTTACCTTTACAGCAACTTATGCATAGACAACAATACCCCACTTATAGATGAAGTGACTGAGGCTTACAAGGTGAAGGCTGAGGGCCACACTGCTGCTAAGTTTAACCCCCAGTCTGACTGCAGCACCTAACAACGACTCTGCATGGTATACCTCAGAGACGGGATGCGGCATTTGTTGTTGAGACATTTTTGGTACTTCTTTGAGAAAGAAGGAAATAACTTCTAAATGTTTTATGGCACAGTAGCTTTACCCACTTACTAGTCTAATTTTTTAAATACAGAAGGACCAAAAGCTGCATATTTTTTCATTAATTTTCATAAGATAACAGCAAATATAAAAATGACAATTTTATCAAATTTATTCAATACAAGAATTTAGTGAAATGACACATGGGTGAAATGATACCATTTCTGCTTGAGAGATGCTCAGAATAGTTTGTAGATAAACACACTGCCCAAGCAACACTCAGGGTAAACTATTAAGTAGTTAACTATTAACCCCTAATCTTGGAGAATCCAAAGGAAGCTACTGTGATGGGTTATTCGGTATGCAGCTTTTTAAATTTTTTCCCAGGACCTTCAACTGAGCCACATCCCCACCCCTTTCTAAATTTCTGAGACAGGGTCTCCCTGTGTCATTAGAGGTGGAACCCCTGCCTCAGCCGCCCACACTCTGAGTACAGGTGTGTGCCGCTGCTCCCAGCCACGCTGACACAACAGTGGCCGTAAGGCAGAGCTGCTTGCCCTCCTGAGGCCCAGCTGTTAGATGCACGCCCAGGTCCACAGATGACAGGCCTGTGGATGTTCTGGTGACTTCCCTTCCTTCTTTTGCAGATCCCAGCAAGCGGTATCGAGGAGCCGTGGGGTCCATCGCCCTCTTCGCTTTGATGGGCACAACGGTGTGCTCTGCTTTCCAGCACCTTGGCTGGGTTAAATCGAGCCTGGGCTATGGGCCCAGGAGCTGCCACTGAAGAATTAGACAGGTTTCAAAACTCTCATTCATCTTGAATGACTTACCTTTATTTCCAGTTAACATTTTTTTTTTTCTAAATATAATAAAAACTTACCTGGCATCAGCCTCATACCTAAGCCTGCTGACTCTTGGCACTCATTTCTTGTTGAGGTTCTATCTAAAATAACTCTCTAGATGAGAGAGGACCCACGGGCAGGGAGGATCCCCTCCTCCTGGCAGCAGCCTCGAGCACGGGAGGTGAAGCTGAGAAGAGTCTGGCTGTGGTGATAGGTTCGTAGTCATGTACAGCAGTGGAACATGAAGGACGATCTTGTGGCTGTGCTTAGCTATCATCTCATCATTTGGTACTGACAATTAGGATAAGAGTAAGGTTTTTTTTTTAAATTGAAGCAATAGGCTAAATTTAGCATCAAACTTAATAGAGGTGAATGTGTATGTCTACATTGGATTCAAAGATTTGATTGCAAATGGGAAAGTTTACACTCACATTCCAATGGGGAAGAAAGTTTTCATTATTTGGACAGTGATACAAATTGGCAAAATATAATAGCTATTCCTAGGCTAAAAGTGCCAATAACTATATTCATGGAAATACGGCGTCTAGACCTATGCTCTCCAAGAAAGCAGCTAGATCTGTTACTTTTCTCATTGCTGAGACAAAATACCCAACACCAGAGTTAAAGGAAGAAAGATTTATTTGGCTCAGTTTGTAGAGGTTTCAGTCCATAATCAGTTGGCTACAGGTGGGGTGGCTTGGCAGAGGGGCATCAAGGAGGAGAATGTCCATGGTATATGGCAAAAAAGCAAGCAAGGGGCCTTAGCAGCATCTTTATATCCCTTTTATAGTCTCTAGGCCGCTGGGATTAGGGCAGGGCCAAACCAGTGAGCAGACTGATTTACCACTTACTCTTAATCCCAGCACCCTTAATTCTAGCACTGCACTGAGCCACACATTCCAGATCCAGGCACCTCTGAAAAAGCCACCCCACCCTACATGAGGCTTTGGGGGACATGTAGACACAAATGACACACTAGCCACCCTGGCTTTCTAGAATAAAATGTAACCCAAAAAGTGTCCCAAAACACCAGTTCTTCATCTATACCAGCTGTATTTCAGGTATTTAGTAGCTAATTTGAGTTACAGATAGGTTTGAGCCGATGCCTGCTGACTAAAGTCCAGGCATGGTCCATTAGATCACGCTACTGCTTAGGTTCACAGGTGCATTCAAGGACAGCACTGTGGCCAGCATCTTTGCCAGCCAAAAACTGCTTGCAAAGAACTGGGAATAACATGCAGGAAGGTTTAATTTGGTCTATAGTTGTAGGTTATGGTATTCTGGCTCCAAGACAGAACAGCATGGTGGAAGGGTGAGGCCCACCCAAGAAAGCTGCTCACCTCATGGCAGCCAGGAGGCAGGCAAGAGGACCATGGACGGAACGAAGTCCACAAGGTCCCATGATCCACACACTTCAACTGGGGCCGACCTCCAGTTTGCGTCACCTAATAATGCCATCAAGTTACAATCAATTGATAAAGTTAACACCCTCACCCTACATTCGTTATCCAAAAGCCCACCAGCAGTCAGACAGTAGCCTCGTGCAGGACTCTAAGGATCCCAATCCTAACAGCCAATGAAACTGGTAAACCTTGACCAGTTGGCCACGTGGACCCTTTAGGCCATTCAGAGTTAGGGCTGGATCAGCACGCGCTCAGATGTAGCTCATGGGACATTTTTATCAGCGTAGAGAAAAGTCAGAAGATGAGGACTGATTCTCATAATGCTTTGATTTGCCTTCCTGTCTATATTCAATGTCCCACACCCAAGCTTTATACCCAATGAACCCATCCTGTACCTTGACTGCCCTCCTGCAGGTAGCCATATGCCCGAAGAAAGTCTATTCACCTAAAGCTCAGCTTGCCTAGCTCTAAGTGGAGTCCAGTAATACTTCTTGTGTACCATGCTTGGGGATTAAACAACAGTGCTGACATAGTGCCTAGGAGGGGTGGGTGGCCAGAGGCTGGCTGGAGCTCAGAAGCCACCTGCTGGTGGGACTCGGCAACCAACCAGGTTAGCCTGTGTTCTAAGCACACCCAGTTGCCTGCTTCCCTTTTCATCCCTTTGATGTGCTTCTAACGTAATCAAAAGCCAAGAAGTCACACAGTTCCACTTCTCTTTGGCCACACTATGCAAAAGAGCTTTCTGATGTGATGGAAATAGGCTGCGCTGTCCAACACAGTAACCAGTACTATGTGTGTGTTGAGTACCTGAAATGCGGAATAACTAATGAGCTCATTTAAATTTAAGTAATTACATGTGGCTAGTAGGCACTGTACTTAGATAATATAAGAAATACGAGTACCTGCAGCAGTTCTCAGCCTCAGCTGCTCATTAAATTCACTTGGGGATCTTTTAGGCTCCAGATGCCCAGAACAATTAAATTAACCTCTCAGTATTTTTTTTTTTT